CGTGGTTGTAAAATTACAAAATGTTATTTGTGTATTTTCATATGTTTTAGGTATAAGTGCATCCATTTGGAGGCTGTTAGTGAGCTGTCCAAGGATGCTTTTATATTAACTTTGAGACGCTTTGTTTCACGGAGAGGGCTACCAAAGCAGATATTCTGCGACAATGGTGGAAACTTTGTAGCTGCTTCAAAGGAACTTAAAGAGTTTTTTGAAGTTAATGCCAAAACTATCGCTAATTTTGCCGCTAACGAAGGCGTTGACTTTTGTTTTTCGCCTGCATACGCTCCTCACTTCAATGGTTTGATGGAGGCCGGTGTAAAGTCAGCCAAATTCCACCTGGCTAGGATATTAGGGACTACGCACCTAACCTATGAGGAATTGTCATCTTTGTTCACACAAATAGAATGTATCCTAAATAGCCGCCCCCTATGTCCATTAAGTTCCTCTCCCACGGACTATTATCCCTTAACTCCGGGCCACTTTTTAATTGGTAGACCACTAAGCTCGCTGCCATCTCCGTGTCTACAATCCGCTAATGCCAATCGTCTCGACAGATTCCAGCGCATCGAGCAGTTTAAGCAACACTTTTGGCGACGCTGGAGCCACGAGTACATTGCGGAGCTGCAGTTGAGGACGAAGTGGCGCACGAAGTCCAAAGAGAGCCTACAAATTGACGACCTAGTCCTCTTGAAAGAGGAAAACGCTCCACCGCTCTATTGGCGTCTCGGACGTGTAAGAAAACTCTTCCCGGGATCTGACGGATTGACACGCGTCGCAGATATAGACACTGCAAGAGGAATTGTGCTGCGCGCCCTAAACAGAATCGTCCTACTACCGAAGCCCGATGAGTTGGAAGATCTTGAAAGCTGTTAAGCTTTCCAGCGCCGGGAGTATGTCGGCGCCGTTACGACAGCACCGACGGTGTTTGCGGGGAGTATGTGAAGTGCGGGGGGTTTCTCACCACCGCGCCTAAGACCGGCACTCGCCGATAGCTCGCGACCCGATCGCCACCAAATATATTGTATTTTTCATTCCTTTTAAATATACAATTTGCCTATCGTGTGAGTCGCCTATTTTATTCATGTTCCCTAACTGAACATCGATTTTATCTTGATGAAAGAAAAATCATCTTTTCACAACGTTTTATTAGCTTTATTCATTCTATATCATGTTATTACAGCTAAATGAAACGATAATTTCATAAAAAAAACATGAAAACACTGAAAAATAAAACCAGCAGTAGAATTACTGAATTGATATCAGCTGACTAGAGGTCAATGTACGCGCGAACGCGAATTCGCGCGGCCTGCAACTAGCGGGCCATACCACAATACCTAATAATTTACAACACTTGTCTAAATACCTAACTTATCTACTTAATCTACTATTATGCCACTTTACTTATCTCCACGTAGCCACTTTAATCCGAATTTACAGGTTAAATAACCCAAATAACTGGTTCGATTCCCCGCTAATGAAAAAATACTTAAATGAAATGTAATCAAGGTTAGAGTCATGCGTTTTTATTCATCGTGTAGGTGAAGGTGTTCTTGTAATAATTGGAAAATTTCTAAGTTGATGGACGTGAATGTTCCTTTATATGGGGTGGTCGGCTGACCGACTGCTAGTATTAAGGTTGCACAATGACTAGTCCTATATTAGGGACTTATCATAGTAAGGTCTAACGAGCCAAAACATTAATATAGAAGGTCTCTATGATGCATAAGCATTATGATAGCAGAGTTATGACTTCAAGTCCATATGAATAAGACATAAAATAGTATGGTCTATGAAATAAAGCAAATATGTGGAAGATCTCAAATATTTAAAAGCATTATATTGAAAAAAATGGGACTTGAAAAGGATTATTATAGTGGCGTGTAGGTTGCTTCGCAGCCTCCGAGACCGAGGTAAACTTGAACTCGCTAACCGATGTGTCCTAGAAATATCATCTTAGTGTCGGTGGTAAGCGGTTTTGTTGTAGCAATACGACTTGCCCGTGGACATCGCACACCCCTACTGTTTGTGGGCGGCGTCCTAGCGCATAGCGTTATGATACGTCGGCTATCTTTCGGATTGGGGTGAGTGTGTTTGGTAGTACTTTTAAGTGCAGCAAATATACTCAACTCCAAGTCTTAGTGCAATAGCGCTATGATACGTGGAGTTTTGGCTACTGACGTCTTAGTGGCGTGTTACTATGACACGTTGGTGGTATTTCGCGGGTGGTGCTCTCTGCTGAAACTGTGTGGGGGACCTTGGGAAGGTGTAAGCCCGACGATAGTCGTATTGATGCTTGTTGTATTCTGCAGCATTGCGTCTCTGCGATGATTGTTTGGCGGGTCGCTATTCTCAATGGCGCTCTCTGCGTCTTGGTTTGACTCAAAACCTAAGTAGCTTTGGCCAAGACTGGTCCCTTCATTGCGGGGCTGCAGACTGTCTGTCCTCCATGATATTCTTAATAATATATCTCTATAAAGTTCCCACCTATGAAAGATTGAAGGCAACTTGTTGGTGGGTGAGAAAAACATGATCGAAAAATGCATATTTTCAACGTCAGTGACACAAACCCTTCCTGATTGCGAATTATTACTATTATCTTATAACTGCCTATTGGCTATATCTGCCATTGTATTGGTTGGTGGAGCATATAAGTCGACTTCATGCGGATGGTAGCTGGAGGGAGAATCTGAGGAGGCTCTCAGGGCTGCGGCCGAAAGCCGCGCAACGTGGGACCCCATTCCCTTGAGATGAGCGGCAGACTCGTTACACGCTCTGCGGCCAATTGGCTGTGCTGACCATGCAATTGGTGGTGATGCCTTAACCTTACATCACGTCTGCAGGAACGGCGGTCTGGCAGGTGGTGGCGCTCACGGAGGGTTTTTTATGGCCAGTGTGCCTATTGTTGCCTAACCCGTGTGACGGACATTCACTGTGGCTGGATTTGATCGTATTCTGTATGGCGTTTACACGCGTTGACGTGCGCGACTTCAGTCGATGTTTGTGCTTACGCACTATCAAGGGGCCAAATCCTCTTTTACTGGTTCGCCAGTTATTTTGCTGTGGACTGCGGTCCAGTTCCCAACTTAGCGTACCCTTCAGGGGAGGTGCATTAAAATGGTTGGCGCTCACCGTGCACGGCGTGTGTGGAGCCGTGTACCTCCTCCACATTTTTTTTAATGTGGGAGAGCGGAGCCCTTGTATCTGGTATTTGATGTAAATATTGTGAGCCTTTTCCAAGCGGGAAGGGATTAATTAATAAGGAATTGACTGTTGTGAACCGGATACAAGTGGAATAGGGACAGTTTATTTTTCTTAACCTTTTTGAGCTCTGTCTTCGTGAACGGGGTTCTTTAGCTTATAAGCCGCTACCAACAGCTTCGATTGCTCTCGTGAATATTCATTCTTCCAAGATACACCTAAAACCTGCGTCACGCGCCGCTCGCGCAACTACCCGGTCGCGCTGTCTGTTGTGTGTGTTTTGTATGTGAAGGATTTAAAATGTCCTCAAAAGTGTTAAAATGTTCGAGCTGCAACATTGTAATAAACGAGACTCTAGCTTTTATCGATAACAAGAAAGATGTTATGGATGACGAAAGTCTTATAAACATATGTGTGAGTGCTTTCTCAGACAGTGATATTGAAACGGCAAAGGACTTGTTGTTTGGTTCGGTCCCGGAAAAGATGCGCAAAATAGTTCGGAGAAAAGATAATCGAAAAAAGGACGGCAAGGCTCGGAAAGATCTGGACGATATTATCTGTCTGCTACGAGGTACACATTCCGAAGACATTCCCGTGTTTACTGCTAGGGCTCTTGAAAAACTCCCTCCCGTCTTATGGGACCATGTAGATGTGACGAGAATTCTAAAAGACATAGTCAAAATGCAACGAGATATTAGCATGATTATGAAGGACTGTGCGAAGCAGGAGGACTTAGACCAGCTAAAGTCTGAGGTTGATATCCTTAAGGATACATCGGTGGTAAATAACTACGGACGCAACATTAACTTGCGTCGTGGAGGTTTCTTACGAAATAGTTTCGAGTGCCAAAGTGGTCCTATGGGATTGCCTCCCTTACCTGTCGAAGGGAATAATGATGTAAACGATACCTCATTACGAGAATCAACATATCGGGACGTAGAAATTAAATTAAATTCATTAGAAGGTAATCGCATTGCGCCGCTACCCGACAATAGTAAGTTGCGTGAATTACCCGAGACGGCGGTTATGATGACTCACCCGGCGCAGGCTGAGCAGAGCCAGCCGCCGCCATCGATGCCTACAGCTGAGAGCGCAAACACCGAGACCTGTGCCGACGCAAGCGCGGGACATACGGCCGTCGTGAGCATACAAACGAGCGACCCAATATCAGTGCCGGTGAATAAAAGCGTAAACGCTGATAATACAGCAACGAACTTACTCAATATACGTAGTAAAGGGCATGCAAAGTCTATGTCAGAAATTGTTCGCGAAGGCAATTGGAGATCAGAAGTACATAGTGATGAGTGGATACAAGTTCAAAAGAAAAGGTTGCGGAATCGGTTTTCTGGATACAGAGGGAAGGCTATTTCGGAGCCTGGAGATAATTTCAGAGCGGCAGAGATTAAAGTCCCGGTATACATTTATAATGTGGCGAAGGGAGTGTCTGTGAGTGATATAACCGATTACGTAAAGAAAAAGAGTAAACTTGACGTCAACGTAGAACAGATGAAAATGAAGACAATAAAAGATTACGAGTCGTACAAAATATTTGTACCTAAACATAAATTGAATGTATTTATGTCAGAAACCTTTTGGCCAGAAGGAGTAGCCTATAGGCGTTTTATTGACTTCAAATACCGTGAAAAGGGAAGTGCCGTCAAGGCTGGGGTGAAAAATCAACTTTCAAAATAGGTTACAACAAACTAGTCACTTTTAATTGTAAGAACGTAGTTCGATCAGTGGAGTGTGTGCGACGGCTATGTCGCTCAGCGGACGTGGTCGCCCTACAGGAGACCAGGCTACTGTCACATGACCTCGCGTTCCTGGGAACCATCGACAGTGACTTCGCCTTTGCGGGCACCTCAGCCGTCGATACTGCAGCCGGTGTGTTACGCGGGCGACCTTATGGAGGTGTGGCCCTTCTCTGGAGAAAAGCTGTGTTTCCTTATGTAACCATAGTGAAGTGTAGAAGTGTCAGGCTTGCGGCGATTAAAATCGAGCTAAGTGACCGTTGTCTTATAGTTTTTTCAGTGTATATGCCGATAGATAAAAAAGAAAATCTAGTAGAATTCACAGAGTGTCTTAGTGAGATGGCGGCTATTATTGAAAGTCATAATGTGGAAACTGTGTTTATGTTAGGGGACTACAACGCGCACCCTGGTGAGTCTTTTGACACAGAACTATTGTCGTTTTGCACTGAACAGTTATGGACGTGTGTAGACAGAGACTTGTTACCATCGGATGCCTATACTTTTGTGAGCGACGCACACGGTAGTTTAAGATGGCTGGACAATGTTGTGGTCACGACCGCGGCGAGGCCCACTGTCCTTTCTGCATGTGTTCTTTACGACACGTACTGGTCCGATCACTTACCTGTATTGATAGAGTGTAATTTCAATGCTGTAATACCAAAATTACCGCAGTCAAATAACTGTATTAATAAAATCATATGGGGAGAGCGTGATAATGATCAAATTGATGAATATTATAATGAATGTAACTCCAGGTTAAAATTAATAGATTTTCCAGCAGAATTTTCGGAATGTTGCGATAATATGTGTAGTAACCATCAACACAAAATAATGCTTGACAGATTGTATGAACGAATTGTGTGTATACTTTCAGAGGCCGCTGTCTGTAGCTATAGTGTTAGGACAGGGCGAAAAGGTAAATACTTACCTGGTTGGAACAAACACGTTCGCGAGGCGCATGGGAGGGCTCGACTTTGTTTTCAAAGTTGGTCACTACATGGCAGACCCGGCTCTGGTCACGTATATAATGAAATGTGTGAATCAAGACGCATTTTTAAAGCAATATTAAAATGGTGCCAAAATAATCAGACACAAATAAAAATGGACATAATAGCTGAACACCACAAAAGAAAGAACTTCGGTCAGTTTTGGAAAGCCACCAATAAAATGAATCATAAGTCGAGCCTTCCCGTGAGTGTTTCAGGAGCTTATGATCATAGTGATATTGCTAATGTTTTCAAAGAATATTTTAGAGTGGAATCACCACTGGGACCGGCAGAGCCGTCGATGCCTGATGCTGGAGCAGGTCGTCCTAAGCGTAGTGTATTTTTTAGCGCTAGAGATGTAGCTAAAGTCATTAAGTGCATGGTGAGAGGCAAGTCGCCTGGGCATGACCATCTCAGCATCGAACACCTGCAGCATGCTGGAGTTCATTTGCCAAGGGTTTTGTCTTTGTTATTTAATTTGTGTATTGGGCATTCATATCTCCCTGACAAATTGATGCGAACTATTGTTATTCCTATACCAAAAAACAGGACCGGTGACGCCTCTGATGTGTCCAACTATAGGCCCATCTCCCTTGCTTCTGTAATTGCTAAGGTACTGGACAGTTTGCTTAACGGGTGTCTGGATAAGCACATTTTGCTTAATGATGCTCAATTCGGCTTTAGATCAGGTCTTTCCACCGAGAGTGCTATCCTGTGTCTCAAGCAGACTGTCCAGTATTACACAGCAAGGAAGACACCTGTGTTTGTATGTTACCTGGATTTATCAAAGGCGTTTGACCTAGTAGCTTGCGAAAGCCTGTGGGACAAGATGAGATCTGAGACTAGCCTGCCCGAAGAAGTTATATTGCTCTTTCAGCACTGGTATAGCAACCAAAAGAACAATGTCAGATGGGCAGGCTCGCTCTCAGAAGAATACAGATTGGAATGTGGCGTGAGGCAGGGTGGTCTAAGCTCTCCAACGCTCTTTAACTTATATATGAATAGGCTCCTTGATGAGCTCAGCAGTACCGGTATCGGTTGCCACATAGACGGAGTTTGTGTTAATAACATAAGTTATGCAGATGATATGGTGCTGCTGAGTCCATCAAGTGCAGCCTTAAAGAAATTGTTAACCATATGCGAGTCTTACGCTGTGGCCCAGGGGTTCAAATACAATGCTGTCAAGAGCGAATTCATGGTTTTCAATCCGGACCACAAGCGATACACTAATGTGCCAGTTTTCAAGCTCTGTGGAATCCCCTTGAAAAAAGTTGAGGCTTTTAAGTACCTGGGTCACTGGATCACGGAAGACTTAAAAGACAACCTAGATATTGAGAGGGAGCGGAGGTCATTGTCTGTCCGTTGTAATATGTTGGCCCGCAGATTTGCTAAATGTACTGACGAAGCAAAGATTACGCTTTTTAAAGCCTACTGTCAGTCATTTTATACGTGCAGTCTGTGGGTTAGCTTTACGCAGAGGACATACAATGATCTTCGCGTACAATATAATAACGCGTTCCGGGTATTGATGGGGCTGCCGCGTTTCTGTAGCGCTTCTGCTATGTTTGCGGATGCTCATGTAGATGGTTTCGCCGCCATAATGCGTAAACGTTGCGCTTCACACCTCAGGCGCGTTCGCGACAGCCCCAACAGTATCTTGCGCGCGTTGGCAGACCGTTGGGACTCGCCGATGTTTGCTCGATGGATACGGCTGCACGCAGTCAAGTAGTCATCTTGCTGGCAGCGGCGGGTGCCATGTTTATTTGTATGTGTGTCTTGACTGTTTGTCTGTGTCTGTGTTTTATGTTGAATTGTTAAATTACTAACTTTAGTTATAAGCTCAATTGTTACTAACCAATATGGATCATGATGTCCGAAATAAACGTTTATTATTATTATTATTATTATTATTATAAAAGCACTAAGTTACTATACAAACACAACGTAAGTAAGGGTCCTAACTAAGACGATCACGCCATAAATTTATTAAACGGCCTATATTTAAACCTTTAGAATGATCAATGTATGATTAATATACTGGTCACGTAATTTAGATGTATTTATATATCTTATAGATATAGATTTTAAAGAAATACAAGTATAAGTATATATAGATAGAGGGGAGGGGGGCTCGTTACATCATGTATTCACTTATGTACCTATTCAGGTTAGTTTTGTACTAAGTTATTTAAAAAAAATAGTTATGAAACAGCTTACGTCTCTAAATCCTCCGTGGTCTTATGAGATGCGGCTCAAATTGTGCTCCATTCATTTCAAGACAGATTTGTCACGTGTATGGTGAAGAAATTATGATCTCGTTTCCAAAATACTTTTAATCGATGCTTATTTTTCTGAATTAAGAATTTCGAACATAATAAAATGCAGATGCGTTATTACCCTTGAGGACTAAGATAGAATGCGTTATATCCAGTAAATAGGGTGTCTGGTTCTCTACATTCACCATAAGCAACACTGTAGCATTGAGCTGCTATTTCACGCTGGTATTCTGTGAGAGTGTGGACCTCCCTCGGACGACCCAACCCGGTCAGGCTATAACCATAATAGAGCTACAGCATAACTTTACCACATTTTAATTTCATCAAAACACGTGCTGAGTGATGTCCTTTTTTGGCATATCCTTGTCGTTTACTCTAGCGCTACTGTGAATATTCTCATAAAGATGTCTATCATTTAGAAAAACTCCAAGCATAGCTCATCAGTAGTGTGGAGTTGCATTTTATTTAAGCCTGTTACTAAATTAATTATTCAAGGTGGTCTTACTCCAAGTTTGTTGTTTTTCAAAAATCGAAACCCCATTTGACCACGTTTTTTAATAACCGATTTCATGCACTTCAGTTGGGGAAAAGAATATATACACTACGCGAAAAGAAAGGACACTTAAGCATGTGTGCACGTAAAATCACTTGCGGCTCTGTGTGGGTGTCTGGATATATGCTGGTGCCTTGAGAGGTGCGCGGGGCGTGGAACGGGCCGTCGCCGACTGCCCTGTCATAGGGCTAGTACGTAGCGTCTCGTTTCTCTAACCTCACGCACCGCACGCAAGCACAGTTTGACTGCGCTTTATAGAAAAATAATGCCTATTCATTTGTATATAATTATTCTACCTTTACTTAGTTACAATATTTGTTTATGCTTATGGCACATTTATGTTATATATAATATTTTTAAAGTATATATTTGTACTTTTATATATTTATATTTATAAAAATTTATATTTGTATGTACACAGGGTATTTTTGGAACGTTCCCGAAAACGAAGACAGACGACAGTACCAACTATACCTTTGATGATGGGTGAAATATAAATCCGATCCCGATGAAAGAAAAAACATCTTTTCTAAACGTTTTATTAGCTTTATTCATTCTCTATCATGTTAGTACAGCTAAATGAAACGATAATTTCATTAAAAAATCATGAAAATACTAAAACATAAAACCAGCAGTGGAAATACTGAATCGATATCAGCTGACTAATGGTCAATGTACGCGCGAACGCTGAAGTGTTATAGGTCGGGTCCTGTAAAAAGAAAGCTGGCCTTGAACCTGGGCACTGAGCGATTTATCACTGATTGCTACGAAGGGGGCGCGACGGGGAAACAATCCGCCAGTATTACTGTGCCTGCATGCTATTGGCTCCTGCGCTTTGTTCGCTCCCAAAATACAGTCGCATACACAGCTTATTTTGTGACTTGCGACGATGGTTATAAAAAGGAAGGAAAGAAAAATTATTTATATAATATATTGTTTTATGACTGAACTAGTGAACGAAAAGGTAAATATGATAAGAGAAGGTGAATGGGGAAAATTGTGCAGTAAAGTGAAAAGTGTTGAGGAAGAATACCGAAAAAATTACCATGTGAACGACCTGATCACGGAAGCTCAAGCGAAGATGAAAGTGATGATGAAGTAGCATCCAGTAATACCAACACGCCATCAACATCTGGCTTCCATGTGACCCAAGACGACACAATGGACGGCGTGTCACCCTTAGCTTTTGTTTTCTTGTTACAAACTTCTTTATATTTTACGATAGAAATAACAAATAATGCTGAAGGTAAACATTAGCCATTTTTAATTCCAACCTCTTCTAAAGTTCTAAGTAGCTCGTAAAACACCTATTATGTCGCTGACTCTCGTCTGATAACAGCAGCATTTCAGCAAGTGTTGGAAAATCGGCTCATTGCTCTGGTAGCGGCAGGAGGTGGAAGTCTAATGGCTGTTCACTCAGAAGAGCGCATTTTAGATGTCGTTCGCCGGAATCCGAACCTAGGTACACGAAGTATCGCTAAATTGTTAAGGCGTTGAGATGGAACAAGTGTGTCAAACTGTACAAATCACAAAGTGTTAAAGCGTAACCGAATGCGCCCATACAAAGTGTACAAAGTGTAAACGTTAGTTACCGGCAATCACGACTGCCGGCGAGTTTTCTGCCGTTGGTTATTAGACCAACAATAACGTGTGCCTGGGTTAATTGAGCACGTCATCTGGACGGACGAGTCGACATTTACCAGAAATGTCCTGTACAACCGAAGAAATACATACGTGTATTCCGAGGTTAACCCGCACGCTGTTCGACAAACCGGGCACCAAACCCGATGGTCGGTTAACGTATGAGCAGGTATATTTAAGAATCGCATACTAGGACCAGTGTTTCCTGCCACAGCGACTTAACGGACAGCGATACCTGAACTTCATAAATGAACAGTTTGTGGACATTTTAGACGACCTTTCGTTGGCTGAATATCGCCGCACATGGTTTCAGCATGATGGTGCCCCTCCACATGTCGTGAGGTTCACCCGTGTGCGTTTCAGTGAGCCATTTAATTATCACTAGATCGGCAGACTAGGGCCACACGCTTGACCACCTCGCTCACCAGATCTGACCCCGTTGGACTTCTTTCTGTGGGGGTATGTGAAAGAAAGAGTTTTTAATCGTGAGTGTGATAGTGCTGACGAAATGCGCCAAAGGATCAGGAAAGGATGTTTTCGACAAACTACGTACGGACTGTGTCGAAGACCACACGATGATGCCCCGCCAGCATAAGGAGACGCAACACCGTGCCCTTTAAAAATCCTTTTAAAATCAATAGAGTCAAATCTAAAGTCCCTTAAAACGAGGAAATATGTGTATACATAGATTCGTAGACGTGCATTCCTAGTGAAAAAATAAGTCCTATCTCCTAGTTCTCTTAAAAATGTAGATCCAGAATTACTTATTAATGGTAACAAGGTACTTTATTCTAGTACTCAGGGGTGACAACAAATCTAAATTTTAATTTTAACCGATGGCCAGGATTTTATAAAAAATAATATATATATATATATATATATTTTATAGAAGAGGGGGCAAACGGGCATGTGGCTCATTTGATGGTAAGTGACTACCACCGCCCATGAACAACCGCAACACCAGGGGAATTGCAGATGCGTTGCCGGCCTATTAGAAAGGTGTAAGCTCTTTTCTTGAAAGTTTCTAAGTCGAATCGGTCCGGAAAATTCGCTGGTGGTAATTGATTCCACAAGGAAGTGGTGCGAGGGAGAAAACTTCTTCTAAATCGCACAGTGGTGACCGCCAATCATCCAAATGGTATGGATGGTAACGCGAGTTTTGTCGCGATGTGCGATGGTGAAATTGAGCGGCTTGAACTAATCCGAACAATTCCTAAGACCACTCCCCGTGATAGATGCGATAAAGTACGCAAAGAAATGCAACATCACTACGCAGTGCCATTTTATCGAACCGATTAGAAAGAACTCGGTTGTCGACGATTCGAACCGCTCTGCACTGGATGCGGTCAAGTGGAAAGAGCTGGCACTGTTGTACCTCGGCTCAGAGATGAGGACAGTATTCCATGTGAGGCCAAACTTGCACTTTGTAAAGTTGCAAGCGATGTGCCGGCATGAAATACTGTCTCGCTGTGCTGAGCACGCCAACCTTTTTAGAGGCCTATTTGGCCTTCCCTACCATGTGACCACGAAACTGCACACTATTCAATATGTCGACGCCGAGGATTCCGATGATAGCTGGGGCAGCAAGGGGAGTGCCTTGAAAATGAGGAGATACGACAAAGGGGTTCTTTTTAGCGGTAAACGCGCAAACTTGTGTCTTCTGAGGATTAAACTGGACTAGATTTAGTCGCCCCTAATCCGAGACTTTGTCCAGCAAAGACTCGACTTCAGACACAAGTTTGTTCCGGTACTCGGCGACGTTTTCCCGAGAAATATTGGCCCGGCCGGTGTATAGAGCATCACCAGTGCTGTCATCCGCATAGCAATGAATGTTACCAGTTAGCAACATATCATTGATATGCAGGAGAAACAGCGTTGGTGATAGGACGCGGCTTTGTGGAACACCAGCGTTGATAGGCTTGAAGTCAGAGCATGCACCGTTTACAACGACCTTGATATTTCGATCAGCAAGGAAACTGGTGATCCATTTGCACAATTTCTCGGAAAGCCCATAGGAAGGAAGCTTCGAAAGAAGCGCTTTGTGCCAGACCCGATCGAAGGCCTTCGCTATGTCCAAATTAACGGCCAATGCCTCCCCCTTGGACTCTACTGCCTCCGCCCATCTATGAGTCAGATAGACTAGGAGATCACCAGCTGATTGACCCCGACGAAATCCGTACTGGCGATCACTAATCAGCTAATGATCCTCAAGGTACCTCATGAAATGGCAGTTTATAATGGATTCCATTATTTTGGAGA